TGGAAACGGCAGCGATCCGCCGAGCTTCCCGTGCGGTGTTTGATCAGCAAACCTGCGCGGCCAAGGCTGCAGCCTTGCAGGGCAGGCGTCCATGTTCTCATCAGCAGGCAGGTATGCATGCTGTTTCTGAAGTTTTTTTTTAGATGAGCAGCGCGGCATGCTGTTCTCCAGCGTCCTCTTCACATGTCTCAGATCTGAACACTGTGGGACGGGCATCGACGGATGTGCATTGCCGCTGCCTGCTTCGCAACTGAAGGCATGGTAAGCATGGACACTGACTGGTCTACTTCCTGCACTCCATAGCAAGTGAAGGTTCGGTTCACACTTCAGAGCAGGGTTCTGAACCCGTGCAAGATTAAAGCACAACTCTTGCATTAATTAGATACCATGCACCTGAATATTGCAATTACATAACGAGGAGCCAAGAGACTCAGAAAGAAATGTTGTCTATTTCATTCGGTGATCATCTTTAATCTGCAGTGTCTGCAATGAACGCTGCTGCTGCTGCTGGAGAGCTATACTTTGCTACTGAAAACGAAATAATCATGTTAAATTAGCCATATATCCTTACTACACTTGATTTCGAATTCGAATAGATGCAACCTGCAGCCGCTCAGCATAGAACATAGAGTAACATTACTAGTTCGCTTCCTTTCAAGCATTTTTAGAAATATGAAGGGGCGAAGGAAGGGCGGGCCTAGTGCAAGCGGTAGAGTCTTACCGTATGTGACTGTAAGGTCCCAAGTTCGAGTCACGGTCTCCTCGCATTGCACAGGCGAGAATAAAGCTTGCCACTAACTCTCTCCCCTAGACCCTGCACAGAGCGGGAGCTCTCTGCACCAGGTACGCACTATGAAGGGGCCGAAGAAGCGTTGGGGGTACAAATATGCCAAAAAAGATAAGCTCCAAACAGCAAATTACAACATATTTTGTTACCATAAATCAAAAGCTATTGTAAGCATTGACTTCATCCTGATTTTGTAGCCATAAATCAAAAGCTATTGAAAGCATTGACTTCACCTCGAGGGATAGCAACGCCATTTCTCTGAAGAAGAGTGATTTGCATTCCTGAATGCTCAGCTGCAGTTTTTGAAGATTGAATAGTTCCTTGCTGTTCAGGTCACCCAACACATAAGAAATTACTTCATTATTGAAGATCTGAGACTGAAGCTAATCCTTGAGAGCTGAAGTGAGCACTGGAAAACTGCCTTGCACTGGTATATTTAAGCTGAGCAATGTTATAGTACTCCCTTTAACTAATATAGGAGATAATACCTCAAATAAAAATCTGAGCTCTTGATTCTTTCAATTTTATGATTAATTAGTTACTCTAAGAAAAGAAAAAAAAATAAGGGAGCTGCTATTCTTCAGGCACCTGAGATTTCATTTTTGTTTAGACAACGGACCTCCAATTTAGACAACGGACCTCCGCCGTTGGATCTTCATCCAATGCCCTGGCTGATGCACCTGTTCATCTTACTCCAGCAGCTCCTGCTCCCTTGGATCCACCGCAGACCTCGCCCCTGCCGCCGCCCATTGCACCCACGGCGGCCTCCCTCTTCCCCTCCCCCTCCCACCGCCGCTTTCTTCTCCAACTCCGGCGAGAACAGCCACGACGCCCTTGTCCCGACCTAGCCTCGACTGCCTCCACCACCGCCAGGGCCCCGAAGCCACCTGACCGTCATCCCCACCGCCTGGCCTGCCTACCTCCCCCCAAATCCCATTCTATAACCGACAGAGTTGGAGAAGAAAGAGGGGGAAGAGGCCGGAGGGAGGCTGCCGCCGCCGCTGTCGACGTCTTCGTCTCAGGTGGGGTGCGGGCGCGCGCGGGCGTGGGCGCGGCGGCGGCGCGGACGAAAAGCGTCGCCTGAAATAGAAGTCGCGTTTCAGGCGCCTACTCTATAGAAAATGTGAAAAAATAAATATTGCCGAATCCCTTGACACGGAGGCAGAAGCCAACGTGTGAGAGCATCCCAAGAGACTCTAATCCTTCCAAAATGTTAGAAATAGAGATTTTAATGAAAAACTATTCTCCAACAGCTTCTCTAAATGGTTATCAAAATATAGCCATCTTCTATTCCGGATCTTTCGGTAGCAAAAAATAGAAAGTGAGAATGACTCTTTAGAGTGCGCGCGATATGTAGAAAAACTGTTGGAAAGTGAAAAATTATAGAAAACGAGTTTTTTTTTCAACTGACTCTCTAAATAATAATTTAAAGAGTAAATTTAGGAAAGCTCTAGGAGATGCTATGATATCCTTCCTTTTCCTCCTTGCCAATTTCATGTATGCAAATAAAACTTTAGGTACATTGTACTTGTACGTGTTCCTTTTTTTTTTGTAATGGACACGTTCGTTGCCATGTACCTAACGTTTCTAGCGTTTCATGGGTGTGCAACGTGGGTTATTACTTGCATAGAAAATAAATATTCCATGCTAACTAGGTTACTCCCTCGGTTCTGTAATATAGAATTTGAAATTTGTCCTAAAATATAAAAAATCCGAGAAAATAAGATAGTGTTTACTAAATAAAAATACTTGATAAAGTACTTGCCATATTTTTTATAAGGAAATTGAGAGTCCGCCTCTTAATCATGGGGAATATAGTTTGATTTTAATAGATTAGGAAGTTAAATAAGGGATATATGTGTCTATTGCACTCTCTCTTATTTTTGTCTAAGTGCTGTGTTTTAGGACGGAGGGGGTATGTTGTATCTAAAGTTGCAAAAAATAAAAAGAGTTACCACATCGTATAGATCATGTGTACATTTATTAGATCTAAAATATCTTTAACTTTCCTTAATTATTCTACTTTACAAAATTAAAAATTAAATAAATACATATTTCATATATTACCTCCTAAGAAGTAATAGCTGATTCTAACCATCTGATTTAGTTAACTGAACGGTTCATAATTATTTGAGAGTATTACAACAAAGCCCATTTAAGATTAACAAGCTAGCAGGATCTTGCAAAAGGGCAGTTAAGGAACAAATGTATCGAGGTTTCGTGTACCGCAAGATGACAAAGAACACATTCGTAAGAATCAAGGTGCGTGTTCTTCCTTCTTAGAATGTTTCTCATGCTCAATATTAACCAAAAAAAATCTTACGCTTTGGCTACAGAAGGAATCCCAGAGCCACTTATAGGCACTATGGACCTGACCTGAGAATGACCAATTCGAGATCTGTAGTCACTTGAAGATGAAAAGGTGTTTGATTCCTAAACATATCTCCAAACATCATTGCTATACATCAACTTCCTTAGAAGTTTGGCCCGTAGAGTCGATGATGACCCATCAGAAAGGCATAAGCCAGATTACAATGGCAAATGGAAACCGAAACCTTTTGAGTTGTCAATGGATGACCTAGATACCAAGTGAAATCTATGTTCATACCAATATGAATAAATTTGCATTGCTAGCAAAAACATTAAACAGTATAATAAAGAGTTAAAATTCCAGTAATGCTTAGGCCAATTTTTGTGGCAGTTTAAATAATATATTGAGCAAACATTAAAATCACCACTAGACACCACGATCCACATCAATATTATTTTACAGCAAGAACATGTGCTAATTAATTTCTGGGAACAATAAACAATTAAACATATATGTTGGGAGACAAAATATTGTATAACAACATCAATGCAAGATTCCATATCTACCCTCTCCATGGGACATTACCAATGGCTAGTACAACATTTGTTTTAAATAAGAGAAAGAATAATAATATGTATAGTCCATTCTAATAAGCAAATGGAACCTATTACATTTTATTAAGGTCTAACATTTTTTTATTGAAGCTGGAATAATTTTCATTAGAACATAGAACGACTCACAAACTTAGAATTATTTTTTAAAAGCTATCACACTTTTTTGGGCTGAAATAGAAACTATTTTCTCTTTGTGATAATTTCCAAGTGAACATGAAGTGTTTTTTTCTCTAATATGGAACAATTGTTCCCATGATTCAGTATTATTGTTATGCCCAATAAAAATGATAAAGACTTACTAAAACAATATTTTAGGTGCTCCAATAAGGGATAATAAAGAGCATTGACATTTCAATATCTCGTGAAAATTTTGAGTTTTCCTATCATCGCTATCTTTTGCATTTTTTGTTTACTTTCTATGAATTTTTATCGAATAGTATTATTAAAACTTAGGTCGCAAAACATTTTTGTGTGTTAGAATAGCGAAACTTTGTCACCTTAGGAGAATTTAGCTAAGCGATATGTTTATATTCTGCAAAAAAAATCATAAAAGCCCAATTCAAACCATCCCTTATTTGTCAAAAATAACAATAATGCATAATTAAGGGACTAGGGGTGTTGCTCATACCACATACGACTAGGTGATCCTTGTGAGACAAATGATTTTTCTATAGGTAGAACATTTTTTACTCACACCTTTGATGTTGAATATGTTTTGGTTGGAAAACAACTAAATATTCTATCAGAAAAAATATTCTACGAAGAGGGAAGAGATTTCTAATAGTCAAAAAATATTAGGCGTATGACTCATTTGCCTTCCCAATCACATATGCAATATGTAATTCCCAGAAGAACTTTCTAGACAAATGGTCAGTATGCATAAGATGTAGTTACCATGCTTTAGGCTATGGAACACTCTAGATCTAGATATTTTGTATGATTGGATTTTAAAAAATACAAAAAAGAGTAGAAAATTTTGGTTGGTTCTTGTGCGGAACCTGCACTAGGGTGGACCAATGTCGTTCGTGGCTTCAACGAAGTCACGAGGCTCGGGTACAACAAGAAAAAGTGCCAGAACAAGTACAACGAGCTGAAATGTTTGTATTTTAATTGGCGCGACGGACAGACCCATACTGGGCTAGGCCGTGACCCGCTTACTGGAGAGGTTGTAGCTTACCCCGAGTGGTACGGCGCCAGCCCCGGGATACTAACTACACGCATTTCCTTGACTTTTTTTAGCAGTTAGGTTCCCACTAACCCAGTACTAACTTCACCATCACTGGAACACATGCAGGAAAGTAGCCAACCCGTTCATGACAAGTTCAGACGCTCCCAATGCTGTGAGCAACTGATCACGATTTTAGGGCGCACCCCACGTGATAGGGGCGAGTTGGTATCGGCGGAGGGCCATCAACCTGACAAGTCACCTAGTAGTGGAAGCCCTCGCACTCCTCTGGCCTTGTCGGACAAGCCGGTCCAACCGCGTAGTGGTGCTCAGCCCTCGAAGAGAGTCTATAGGGAATATTCTGTTAACAGTCCTCGCAGTAAGAAGAGAAGCCAGACTCCATCCATAGAAGACTGCCTTGAAGACCTTGGCCACATTATCAGGGAGGCTAGGTCCCAGAAGGCCCGTTAAGGCACAGATGCTGAGGAGTTGGCTCAAGTCCATGAGATTTTATTGCAAGACGGTATCAGCGAGACTGATGTAGTATTCATCCAAGCCCTAAACCTTTGCAACAACAGGCTCTGTCGTCGGGCTTTTCTTAATATGAAAACTAAAGAGGGCCGGTTGAACTGGATCAATGTGACGTGGGGCTTCGTGTGCGCCACAAAGTCCCAGTGATCAGAACTATTGTTCGAACTGCATTTTTTTTCTACTGTTTTCTATTTTCCACCATGTGCATGTTGAGTTGATTCTGTTCGTTGTTTCGTTATGTTCGTTTTGTTTGTTTTAACAAAGACCATTGCGGAGAACTAAGTGCATGTCGTTGTCTCGTGTTTTGAATAAAATATTTGTGTCGTGCTGTGAGCGTTGTAAGACCTTATCTATGTATCACTTTTCTCTTGTTCAATCCTTACATATATTTGTCTAAGGTGGTCATGCCACCTTCCTAGTTCAGGTATCTTGACATGTTCACTTATTAGCAAATGTTTTGTTCCCAATATATGCATCAGCATCTTACTGATTTGTGCCCATTTGCAGGTAGCATAATGAGCAGCACCGACGAGTCGTCGTACAGCGACACTTCCAGTGATGGACCGAGCACTGTGACCTTGGTGAAGGCAGCAGTCGTCCTTCTGAGGTTGAAAGGTATTATGCCGCATCAAATGCCTGAGGTAAATCCTCCTTGTCCCATTCCTAAACTATCTAGAGCCCAATGGATGCAGCTTACCCTTGCCGACCAAACCAAATGTATAGACAATTTGCGCATGACGCGTGATGCTTTCATGCATTTGCATGACACCCTGTTGCCGTTTGGCCTGCCATCAACATATAAGTGTACCTCGGTAGAAGCTTTAGACATGTATATTTGGACCTGTGCCCACTAATCTGCAAGTAGAGAGTGCAAAGATAGGTTTGAAAGGTCTTTAGATACAATTAGCAGAAAGATAACAGCAGTTGCAGAGGTCATGTATAGGTGGGCAAATACTGTCCTAGTGCCCGCAGATATGAACTACGCACGCGTAAGCCACAAACTTGCTGCATATGCACCATGGTTTGATGGATGCATAGGTGCTATAGATGGCACACACATAAAGGTTGAGGTTAACCGTGAAGCAAAGGCTGATTTCTTCAATAGGAAAGGCTAAACAATAATTAATGTTTGTGCCATCGTGGATATGGATGGCCGTTTCACATACGTGGGGGCCAGGAAGGCAGGGGCATGTCATGACATGGCAGTATTGAAAGACTGTTAGGACGACAATTTGTTCCCACATCCCCTAGCAGGTTCGTGATGCCTAGCAAAATTTATAGACTAAAGGAAGTATTTGAAAACTAGTTACATTCTGATCTGAAAAATCACAACGTTTCAGGCAGTGTTGACATGACTAATTGGTGATCTGTTGTCATTTCTTGTAGGCCGGTATTACCTAGCGGACGCGAGCTACATGAACATGCTAGGATACATGACTCCCTTCAGAAACACAAGGTATCATATCAACGATTTTAGGGGCGTAGAGTTGCAGCAGTTGCAGCGGGAGGAAAAATTCAACTACATTCATGCGAAGTTACGAAATGTCATTGAAAGGAGATTTGGGGTCTTGAAAGAACATTGGCAAATTCTGAATGGGGTGCCGTACTGCAAGAGGATGAAGCAGTCTATGATAATCATTTCATGCTTTGCTTTAGAAAATTACTTGTGGATGCTTAAGTATGGAGCTGATCCACCATCGTATGAGGTGCCAGAGAGGGTTGAGCTAAATCGGGGAACCCCAATCACTGGAGTTAGGGAGTTAATATCTATGGTTGTGTGGAGTGGTATCCAATTTAGGACAGTTGAGGTAATGCAGCTGCTTCCTATATATCTGCCTGCTCTTTACAGTACTGAATTGTGGTAGTTAATTGTTCCTCGAACATAAGCACCTCAAAATTAAAATTAGATAACTGTCAGTATACATGTGAACCTGTGGAACAGGTTGTTTTACACCTCAAACATGTGGTCCTGTGGAACTGGTTGCTTTGCTTTATAAAATTAATGCCTTTCAATATTTTAGAGTATATACTGTGGAACTGGTTGCTGACTTGGTCTGGGCATGTTGCTGCTGAATCTGCAACTGGGAAGAGGTAAGGAGCTCAGCTGTCAACTTTGAAACTTTGTGATTTTTCCTTACATCTGCTATTTTATGTCCTGGCAGAGTATTTGTTGTATCTCTGCTGCAGTAAAAGGCACTTGTTCATTATTGTCGAATTGTACCTTACATATGACTAGTAAATGTTGTACAAGTTCTTGTGAATGGAGTTAGAAGACACTCCACTCCAGTCATCAGGGATTTCTATAACAGCCAATTAACTGCCAGGTCTCCATTCTCATTGTCACATTTCCTTAGTTTCACATGAAAGATTCTAACACAGTCAGTATACTTGTTGAGTTAAGATTTCCACCTGATGTTTGTCTCGTTGCATTGCAGTGGACATGATTATGATGATACTCTGCTAGCTAAGTTTGAAAGTATCTTCACAGATTTTGAAGACCATAGCTCTACAATGGTTGGCATCAATGCTTATTCCTTCCCTAACTTGGCAATTTTTGTAGTCATCATTGCTTATCTCCTGCTATCACTGTGCCTTGTAGTTTGTTTTCAACATTGACCAAGGTCTGCCTGTTCTTCCTGAGTGGCTTAGCTTCAACAGAGTGACAGCATGTTTGAGACAGGGATATGAAATTGGTCCTGCTAGGCTTCTTGTAAGGTTTGTTTTAATCACATTCTTGAACGGGGCCTGTAGCAAAAAAAAAATCATGAACTTAATCCCTGCACTGAACTTGCACTGACAGTTTTTCTTGTTTGTTGATGTAGTGCTTCTGGAGGTCACATGGAGACAAAAATTCAACCTCATGAAGCATTTGCAATTGGTGGGAGAAATAGTGTAAGAGGATACGAAGAAGGTGCCGTTGGCTCTGGGCGCTCTTATGATGTTGGTAGTGGTGAAGTTTCATGCCACCTGTTAAACTTCTTTCTCCTCCGAGCATTACTATCTTTTTGTTGTTGTCAAATGGACCACATGGAAGTATGACAGACACAACTGTGTGGTAATTTACCACAGAATGTCATATTGGCAACAAGGGTGTACATGATGCTGTCACCAGGAACAAATGGACTCTAAATTGTTGGTTCAACATGTAACTTATTTAACTGTGTACTGTGATTACAAATGTATTATGGTTTGGCGCCATTATATGAAACCACCTATTGTTGGCGCCAATATTCAATTTGAATTTGAAAATTTGAAATCTGCATGGTAACCGGCTGCTGGGAATGGCTGGTGGCTGGAATTAGCTGGTTGGGCTGGCTGGTCCAGCCCCAGCACCAGCTAGCCAATTCAGCCCTGCCGAACAGAGCTGATGGTTATTGGTTGATTTACGTGATCTCAGCGGAACAAAAAAAAACGAATCTTGGGCCACATCCAACGTCTGCGAGTGGGTTATATTAAAAACTATATGTCTAGAAAACCAAAATGACTTAGAGCTTCTCCGGCACTATTACCTAAAACAATCCACCTACTTTCCTGTTTATGTAGCCACCTACTTTCAGAGGGCTTGTTTTTTTTCTATTGTCTCAATAGGGCTACCTAAATCAGGACCCTCAAATTAATTTCAAGATACAATGACATACGGGTCCACTCGTCATACTCTCCTCTTCCCTCTCCCCTCTTGAACTGACGACAGGGAGCACGAAGGTGAAGCGCTGGCGGGGAAGCGTCTCATAGGGAGGAGGACGCATGGCGTCGGGGAGGAGGAGGATGGTGTCAGCCATGGAGGCGCGGGCAGCTATGGTCATGACCTTTGGCGGGCGAGCTTGGTGCCACGACGGGGGAGGCAAGACTATGGAGGAGAAGGGCTGGCGGTGGCTGTGGAGGCGCATCCAGGAACGGCGCACCTAGATCTGGCCTTGCTAGACCTAGAGAAGAGGGCCGGTGGTGGGGGAAAGGGTGCAACGATGACAAGGGAGGAAGACCACGACCTAGCCTGGGCGAGCACTAGAAGGCAAAAACATAACTACCAAACAAGAGTTTGGGTAGGCACTTGTTGTTCCAATAGAAATGGGTAATGGAAGGGGAAATTAGGGACCAACAAATTTGGGTCCCCTAGCAGATAGTCTGTTGGAGCTGTAGGGTGCAACAAATTTGGATCCCTAGTAGATAATCTGTTGGAGCTATTTTTCTCTCCACTACCTTAAAAAAGGAGCCCGTTGGGTAGTCCTATTAGAAATGCCCTTGTAATTTGGAATGGAGGAAATACCTTGAATGGTTGGACTTAATCCCTCGCTTCTATCTTCGTGACCAACTGGCCATTGAGAATTTGAGACTAATTCAAGCTAATGACTCTTGTAATGAACCACATATTTGGCAAATTATAATTTTCATCGTGTAATAATTTCTTTGATAGTCTATGATCTACCCTACCCTATAATACACCAGTTAGAATAAATTTACAGCCACACAACAAATGGCTGCTCCACAGTCATAACCTATGCTACATCCACACCTATAAATGCACCTAGAAAATATAACACTATCAAAACAGATGCACCAGATTATCTCTTAGCCATTCTCTCTCGTTACTCATCCATATCCGACGGTCCTCCTTCTTTGGATCGCCCCCAATGCCCGCTCCGCCCAGCGCCCACGTCTGCTTAGGGCACAGTTCGATTCCTCAGCGGCTCAGCCTATCTCTTTTTTACGGAAAGAAAAAAATAATACCGCCTCTCCCTCTCTGACGGCAGCGACGAACTCCACTGCACACTCACTCCATGCCCATGCTGCTGCCGCCCTCCAGAGCTCTCCATGACGACGCATTCCCGAATAACAGCGCGGAGCCGCCTCCGGCCATCTCGCTTGCCCCCATGGCCAGCGTCACCCCTCTACCTCGCCGCCCCCATCGCCGATGTCGCCCTTTACATCGTCACCGCTCTGCTTCTCCTGAACGCCTCTTCCTCCACAGCATCCGAACCGAAGGCTTCATGACCAGGTAACCAATCGATTCTTGATGTATCCATTGCTTGATTGTTGTTTTAATTTTTACCAGATTTTTGGCCTTACCTCCTGCCTCATTTAGGGTTAGGATTTTGTGTCATAGCATTTTGTGGTCATCTAGGGTTAGGATCCTCCTTCAGTTTATTTCACAATCCACATTAATTGACGCTAATTAATAGAGACTAATTTCTTTTGCCTGTTGCCGTGCAGTGATGAAGTGCTATTTCATGAGACTGACTTCTTTGGACCTTGCTATGCACTTATGAAGTGCTATTTCATCTTGATTCGATCCATGGCCACTCTAATTCGAGACAATCTGTTGTTCGGTCGATCTTTTTTAACGCTTCCTTACCGCTCATACATTCTTGCCATTTAGTTCTGTTTGTGCCAATTTTATTTTGCTCATTGCAAATGATCTGATGTTCCTCTACTTTCAGACATGAAAGATCACAGCCACTTCTAAGATCTGGGATCATTCTCTTTTATATATATATTTACAACAACTTTCCTTCTCTCCAATCATATTGGAACAAAGAAGTGTTCGACAGGTCAGCTCCCTACTTCATTGTTTCATATGAAATGATTAGATCTCCATATTTCTTACACACTATTACATGCCCTGTTGTTTGTTTACCCTTTTGGAGAGTGGACAACCTTACAGCTCAAAGACATTGAAATTTCAGGAATTTACTGAATTATGTGGTGCCTTACAGGCAGCCCCTACCTATTGAATATTGATTGTTTGGTTGAGGAATCACCATGTTAGTGCTTCCGAAACTCTCTAATGGCTACGGATTGCGGAATGTGGTTCAAAAATTGAAAGCCATGCGACAAACACATAGGGTCCTGCAACCAGGTTCGGTACAGGTTAAAATTATGTTCACATTTTGCTTTGTTAGCAGTCTGGATAAATTTTCTGAACTAAGTTTTACTGGACCCCACGATGTATTTAAGAAGATCGTTGTTTTATGCTATCCACCTAAAAAACACTTTTTCGCTTCATACCTATTTAAGAAGAAACCCCATTATTCCATATCAAACCTACATTATTGTTATTGATAGCCAATATTAACCAGAAGAAACTCTTACAGTGGAATGAAATATTGTGATGAACCCGCTATATTTGATTGGGAACTCATGAATGAGCCTAGATGTCTATCTATTTCATCGGGTCCTCATATTCAGGTAGCGTACTATTTGAAGACCCCCCTTCGCTTACAAAGTGGCCATATGAAATCATTAATTCCTTATAATTAAACCTGCAGTTTATTTGCAGGCTTCCATACAAGAAATGACAGCATATGGTCATCTGATTGACAGATTATGCTAGCAACAGATGTGATTGATTTTTGGGTGCTAGGTTCACTAGCTCATTTGCTTGTAGCATGTACCTAACACCTGGTGGGTTTGCCATCCTCTTCCTTTGCCTACCAATTGTTCTTGCATTCATGCCTGATCCTGCTTCCCATCTATCTGTTGCGGATTACAGTCCATGTACTGCAGCTTGGGCCAAGATTAGTGGTACAAATATTTGAGAAAATTTCTTTAATTAGCAATGTTTTATGCTTTTGTTTCTATATATATTGCCTGCAACCACATTGCAGTGGACCCGTCTTAGTTTACCAAATGATTGCATCCGAATATGTGCTTCATGTCCTAAAATAAAAGAGCAAAGGTTACTGATGCTAATTAATTCTGAACTTCCTCTCAGCTCTTTATCTTTATTATCCAAGAGATTGTTGTGTCTGCAAAGTAGGTTTTCCGAAATTGGACATGCTATAGATTTAGTTTTTACTTCTAATTTTTTGTTTAAGATTTATTTGCTCTGCCTCCTATTATATGAAAAGGTGCATTCACCTGCACCTACTACTACCTGATATAAGCATATACTGCTGCTAACTTCTCGAAGACCAGCTATTGTATTTTGCTACTACCTCTTTTAGGTTGTCCATATAAAATTATTCCCCTTGATTATCCCTTGATTCCTTTAAATAAAAGGTTGCTTCACATAAATGATTTGGAATTTTACCTGTAGCCAGCAGCTTTGAATGTTGGGTATCCTTTTCCATTTATGTCATGTGCTCCTTTATTTTAGAATGTATAGATTTCACTCTTTTTCCGTGCTAATAATTAGTTTTGGAGTGCCGTGTTTGTCAGGTTATGCTACCAACAGATGTCTATTCATTTACATAATATTATACTACATACAATTTTAGTTCTAACTCCCATTTAGTTTTGTAATTAGTAGGTTCTTTTTCTTCTTCAGCCAACACAAGGACCCAACTGATCTCACCCAGGCCTCTAGGGAATTGGTCAACCAGTACGACCAGGCTACTCAGTACTTTCTTTTCCACTCCTGTATTTGCCTCATGTTATCTAAACAGCTGCATTTGCCTGCTGCTATGTAGTTTGTTGCTACTTGGTTTGGTGCCCAGTTTCATAATCTTTGCTTTCGAGATACTATAGGTATATGTTTCATAATCTTTGCTTTGGACATACTATAGGTATATCTTTCCTGCTGTTATGTAGTTTGTTAATTGTCATCTTTGTGCGTCTCCTGCCATCCACGCGGTGCCCTCATCACCACGACACCACTCAATCGTGCCAAAGCCGTTCGTCTGCTTATTTGTTCTCTTCTGGAAGAGAAGCGGAAGATTGATAGAGCGGAAGAGTACTGCTCTTTCCAATTCGCTACCATCCGCCTTCATCATGGTCATTCCGGTATGCAGATACAGATTTGTTCTTATACCTTAATAATTGTAGGTATCTTCAGCAATCGTGGCAGTATGTAACTTCGTTGTGGGTTGTTGCTATGTATGTAGTTTCATTCTCTCTGAATGGAGGCAAACGTGCGTAAAATGTGCAACATGCTGGCAGTTGATGGCACTGGGCGTGTCGTGTTAATGTGGCCACATACCTGAAAACCCAGGCTGGCCATCCAGGACAGGTCCTCACTTTACTTGTAACTCTTTATATGTAGCCTGTTTTGAAAACTCATCAATAATGCTTTAAAACTCTGCTTCATTTGAGGTTTTGACATCTTTTTTTAGTTGTAGGCAACAATCACTGAGAAAGATTCAAATGAGTTAATGTATGAGACATCAGGTTATGTGTGGCCTTATGTTCTTCGATGAGCATCTCAGTGAGAAGACCATCCCTGCATTTCAGTAATGTAATTTGTTATTAGTAAATATCATTAGAAAATACTTGCATATTTTTTAAGTCCTGATATATGCAACTTCGTTTGTAGAAACAATTAGATGGCATGTTCTGTCATGTACCTGTATTTGGTACAGCAACACTTTAATCATCAAGCAGTGTTCTCCATCAAGTTGTTTCCCTTGATTGAATATTGTGCACACATCATCTACAGTACAAGGTTAGATATATATCCCAGAAATCGATTGGATGCTGATGATACTTGGCTGGCAAGATTATGCAAGGTCGCAAATTGTGTTTGTTCTTCTTACAATTGTTTCTATTGCATACAATATACTAAATGAAAAATGGGACAATTTACTGAGTTGCTGCAACATCTTTGTGATGTGTTTTTCTTGTGTTTGTCGGTGTTTGCAAACCTGACTTAGCTAACAATGTGACTCTGTTTTTTTATATTTTTGACAAATTTTATTTATCTTGTTTTGTATTTTACCGTAGCATTAGCACGGGCATACACTCCACGTGGAACGGCGCATGGGTGTGGCTCGGCACCTTCGACAGGCGGCGGGGTGCGGCGCGGGAACAAGGAGATCTTCGTGTTGGTGGAGCCCGCGACGCTTGTGCGGCTGCATGGAGGGGACTCCATGCCCGGGGACTCGCCAGGACAACAGTGCACTGGCCAAATGTTGCCATTGCGTTAGCATGGGCACTATACTATGGTAGAGAAATTTACAAGTTAAGTTTTTGTCTTTGTCTCTGATGGTCTGCCTAAGTGGCCATGTTCTCCTTCCTCTTCAAATTTCAGAAGAGGACACTCAACTCTATCACCTGAATGTAGTAAAAAACAAACGAACTGACCGTCTCAATGTTTTATTCGATACAAGAAATCTATATCTATATCTATACTCTATACCTAATAATAAAGAGGCAAAATTTCAATCAATTTTTTTGTCCATCCATTTTTTGGTCCGTCTCCCTCTAAGAACCGTACAATGAAAAGTTTCTTCCCTCCGGATTTATATATATAACCCGTGCTCAAAGAGTTAGAATAACTCTTGTATAGCGCGATACGAAGTCCGATTCCATAACGTATTGGGTCGTGTATATAACACACGTCTAACGATGATACGGAGTCTGATTCTAATAATTACCCTCATGTTGGTCCGTCATTTGGATTCCATGCGGTTTAGCCGACGCGCAGTCAAATCAAGTTCCTCCTCAAACACGGTATCTAGGCCAAGCAACATCAACCGACCGCGTGTCCATGTTATACTTATTGCATGTTCATCTTGTGCACGTACGTGCAAGCCAGAACAAATTAAACGTGTTTGTGTAGGATTCCGTGGGTATGATATGTAAGTCTCCACATGGGGCTTTATTTACGTAGGTCCTTGTCCATGTAACAGAAGTTTTTTTTTTTTTTTTAAAAACATGATTCCAGTCGATCGATACACGTTTAATACCTAGAATTTAAGCATATACCTATCTTTATTTGTTTTTTATATTATTGTAGACAGAAGTGTTTCTTCTTCTTTATTAGTCACTAGGACACACCGTCCGGCTTTCGGGAACGATGCAAAAGTCCAAACCCCATAAATTAGATCGCATAATACGGTGATTATATAAATTTCCAAGACTCGATTCTATCCCTATATGAGTTAAAACAACACGTGTCCCAGTTTTATCGATGAAAAACTAACGCGTGTCCAGACATGGTATGGAATCCAATTCCAAGATAGACCGGAATACATGATACGATTATAGGCAGTGTTGAGTCTGACTCCAAAAAGAAACGTAACGCATGACATGATTATTTGACAAATCTCCAAGTGTCCCATGTCCAAATGTGTTGATGTGGCGGAACCGTTCAAAATGGCACGTTTTCGGATGCGCTCGTCTTCCACTAGACACTAAACACCCTGAAAGCAAGTTACATCGGATGGTTTCGTCAAGCACACCATAAGGGAGAACTCGAATAATCCACGTTTTTTTCTCTAGGATCCAATAATGAGAACGGGTTTATAATACTTAGTCCATTTCATACAACAAGAGTTCTTAGAAATACATTATTATAATACCAAGTTCAGAGTGCGAATTTAAGCAGCGGAATTACAATAAACATCTAACGATAAGATACAAGGATCCGTCTGTGCCTACCAGAAAAATCCTCCACACAATAGCTACTCCTCAAGCTGCACCTGCAACAGGGGTAAATAAACCCTGAGTACACAATGTACTCGCAAGACTTACCTAACTAGTAGGAATAACTTCCCGACTCCAAAGGATATGATAAGCTTTATAGTTTGTTGGGTTTTCTTTTTACAAAAAGCATTACTAGTATTGAATCCTTAGATATGTATTTTATTAGCAGTCATGATTAATTTATTAGCTAACCATTCTAGGTAAGCACTTGTTCTACTTTCAAGCAAGAGTTGAGCAATCAGATCCATTTCACCATCTTTCATCTTCCAGTTCTTGCTACGGTGCTAGATCATAGACAAGTCGTACCGTATTACACGACGATTCGCGAATTAATGTAGCCCAGCTGGGTACCTCGAAACACGCCCGCTTGTACCCCAGGCACAAGCAGGACCAACCCACCACTCTCCTATCAAGGGGTCCATTTCCCCATCCAAACTTGGACTCCAAGCTCCCACACCTGAGTCCCGGACTCAGTGTGGTGCTTAGACCTCCACCATCCCCACCTCCAATCAGTCGGTCTGGAAAGAGCCGGAACCCACGACAAGAGAGCAACGAGCCTTCCCGCTCCCATAAGCAAGTATGTGCTCAGGATAATAAGTCTGTGACTTGACTAGAATCCAATGCAATGGCCGGTCCTTAACTGACACAGATAGGGAAAATAGTGTAACCAAGCTATGCCCCATTGTCTATGGGACACAATCTCTTACACCCACCAATACACGTACTATATCCCTGCCCGGTCTCTATTTTCTTTCACCATTTTATCATGAGAGTAATATTAATAATCACATATTGCGAGTAACGACAGGCTACTCACGCTATCGATAGCCTAAGCATCGCAGCTACTCGATCTATGCTAGTAGGACTCCTGGGTAGGTATATCTATGCATGTAGTTTCAACAATAAGCCTGTAATATAAATGCACATCACATATATATATCCAGTGATTATTTAAAATAAGGGTTATGCACCGGGGCTTGCCTTGGGCAGGCGGGGTTTCAGCTCAGTCAGTCAATGGTGGCTCTGGGACCTCCTCCTGCATGAGGATCTCCTCCTCGTACTCCTCGATCTCCTCCTCAAACTCATGATCTCCGAAGGTCACGATCTCCGCCAACCACTACTAAATTTTGACCCTATTGCACCGGTCAATTACTTGTGGTTGATGCGAGAAGCAGCTATTGCATCTTCCATCCGTTGTCTCTTGCATCAAAATTGAGAGATGCAATAGCTTATTGCATCCAAATCATGTTGATGCAATACATCTATTGCAACGGCTATCGTTCGATGCAATAGACTATATTGCATCCATATTAGGTTCGATGCTATATAATCTATTGCATCACCATTTTGATTCGATGCAAGAGGTTCTATTGCATCATCATTTTGGTTCGATGCAATAGGAACTATTGCATCGATGTTATGTTCGATGCAATTCGAACTATTGCATCGACATGAGGTTAGATGCAATACAAACTATCACATCGACATGAGCTTGGATGCAATACAAACTATTGCATCGACATGAGATTTGAAGGGCAACCAATTATTGCATCAAATTCATTGCACAGAAATTCATAAAATTACAAAATTCAATGGCACAAAAAGGCAATCATATTAATAACTTAGATCATAAGCATTCAATAGTTTGTACAATGTAAGGAAGTCAAATGCCTTCCTATTTCTAAATAGGTAATTGCAAAGTTGAACTGCATTACAAACCACTAACTTATGCTACAAATAGACAATCATAAACAAAAATACATGTCTCTTTGCACAGATCAACATGACATCTTTCTTGTTGCATAATATTTGATTCATTTCAGCTTGCCAAGACTCCCTCAAGTTGATCTTCCTGAAAAAGTCAAAATGACATGCATTAGTAATATATATAGTTAATCACACAGTTGGAATCAAACATAGACAACACATGATAGACAACAATATTTTTGGGTTTAACAAATAGAATGGATACTGAAGCCGAACTATAAACACATAAGGCATGAACTCCTGATTGCTCATGTTAAGTGAACAAACATACATGTATAAGTGAACAAAGTTCATGTTAATAATCTGGACAACAACTTAAAATGACACCTGATTGCTCATACCTTTCCTCCTTTCTTTCTGCATTGTAGCTTTTTATTTGCAGCAGTATTCCTCAGTGTTTGTGATGTAATAAATGTCACTGTCTCATTACTATCTTTATCATTTGGAAAAAGTGATCTGTTGGCGCTGCGAGTGAGGCGACTAGGTTGGATACTCTTCTGTTTGCTCAACAATACACTGTCTGGTACAGTCTGTAAAAACCAGAAGATTTGAAGGAGCAATCACCACTTAGCAATTCTAAGAATCTGTTCAACTACAGGTGATAATTTTGAAGTATATTACCTGTTGCACATGTTCTGATCCTTGGATGGGAGTCGGAACAATAGTAGGTTCATTATGTGTGGGCAGGGCAGATTCTGTACCAGCCTTCATATTTAAAAAAAAGATTCACACATTATGTCAGATTAAATGTAGGTATCCATTACATCGCAGTTTGCATTTATCAAAAAATAATACATGTGCTAAATCTGCACCTTCATTTCCACTAACCATATTTTCTGCAGGCTGAGGGGCTGTTGTGGTTGGTGCAGCATTCTTGCATTGGAGTTATAAGGAGAAACATTAGCAATCAAGCTTTACTAAAATCAATGATGTTGGTAACAATTAAGAAGTAGTATTATTACCAAAGGCGGTGCTTGATTGTGTTGTTTGATTAGTGAAAAAAAACTCTTGCCTTAGTTCTTCTCTAATCTTGCTACTTGTACTCTCCAGTTGATATTACAGCTGCTGAATTTTTTCCTTCTCGCTCTCCCTCTCAGCGGCTTGAACGGTAAGCTTTTCTTTTAACTTCTCTATCTCAGCTTGCATCTCACTATTCTTCTGTTGGGCTGCTGCTGCTAATGCAGATGCATGAGCTTGCTCTTTAATTCATTCATTCATAAGTTGGCTTTGGGTCGGATACTTTGCCAAGTATCCATGTCCAGGACCTTTCCTGCTCTTGCATCCAGTGGTTTCCTTGTAGGTTTCATGAAGAATATGCCTTTCCTGTTCTTTTGAAATCACAGAAGCTTCCAACTCAATTCTCTCTACAATTTTGGAAAAGGCGCTTTCCTAAATTTAAGAACACAATTAGTGTTTTCAACTTTAGCAAGTAGCAACAGCAGTTCTAGTTCAAGTATAATAAGAATTAGGTAAAATGGATACTTTGGAAATCAAACTGTATATGTTAGATTCATGTACTGATTACTTCCTAAAAAATCCAAGTCCATGTTAATCATGCAAATATAATTCCTATCAAAGCATGTTGAGAGGTAAAAAGCAATGGACAGTTGAACTCTAGCATTTCAGAGATATGTATGACATTGGAGATAAATGAATAAAACATGTTATGAGAACATACATCACTGGACACTTGTTTACCGAGTAGCCCAGCTCTATTCAAATCACTTTAAAGAACATAATTAACTACATAAAGCATCTAACATAAGCAACATCATCATCATCATCAATAGCTGAACCTTCACATATACTTTCCTGCTCTCGGATGAAGCTTTCATCAAAACCTTTCCGAAGCAAATGATTCTGAACATCCGACCGTTTTCTATATAACATGGAACGACATGCTGAACATGGACATGGTGCCGTTCCTCCTTTAGAGCTGCCTCCAAAGGTGCTATCAAGATAATTTGTTAATCCTTGTTGCCACTCTGCAGATGCCTTATCCAAATAAGCATCCAACTTCTACCTTGGTGTGACATTGATTTGAACACCGACAAACACACACAAAGATAAATAAGAACATGCTACATATTGGAAACAAAGCGTTGGCAAATCTAGGATTTTAGGTCAGGGTATGCACCACAAAAAAAATCATACACAATTCGGTAAATCCATTTACCAATTCGGTAATAAGGTTTAAATTCATGAATTAAGTGGAAGCCATATCTACTAAATACAATTTAAATAATTTCAAAACTGAAATTATACTACCCGCAACCTCTCGCTTGTTTTGTCCCTATATGACTTGATGAATTCAATTAAATTAATGGATCAACTATTAGCTTCATCGCTTGATGCTAGTATGGATTGAATTGCAAGGTAAAAAAAATTACAAATACTGCAATGAAGCCAATGAGATCTGTACTCTTGATTAGTGATTACCGAAACCACTTACCGCAGCCACAGAGTCACAAGTCGTGGACGGAGGGATTGTAGATCGATCTGCAGTGACCGTGTTAGAGCCTAGCGTCCGCATTTTGGGATCACGAGATTAGCTTACGGAATTGGCAACTCAATCCGAAACCACAGCATGAACGGACGCAAGCAAGCAGCGCAGCAACCGCGACATCATGCGATGCCACGGAGTCGCGATTCGCGAATAGGAAGGGTTGCCGCACAGACTGAACTAGAACAAGGGGCGGATTTGGGCCTAGGGCCACTAGGGCCACGACCCTAGGCGTGGCCCAAAGAACCCTTTATAGTATATGTTGTTCTCTGGGCTGGCCCTAAGAGGTTGGGCCAAATATTGTAGCCTCACATTGACAAATTTCTAGAGGAAAGTCGAGAGGCACGCGATTTGCGAAATGAGAGGCACGAGCGTGGCGCCTGTCTGTCTCACTTATTAGGTAGCCACAAGGTGTTTTCACGTTAGTCAATTTTCTTTCAAAAAATACCGGTTGCATCAAACACAAATCTGTTGCAATAGTACTTCCTAATTGCATCCATATTCTAATCCGGCGCAATACCACCTACATATTGCATAAAAAATTCAATACTAACGCAACCAAATGTGTCTGATGCAATAATTTCTACCTATTGCATCCCTTGTTCCAAATGATGCGATAGATCATACCTATTGCATCGACATGAATTACTATCGCATCCAACTCTTTTTCGATGTAATAACGACCGCATATTGCATCAGATTCCAAAAATTGATGCAATAGCAGCCACCTATTGCATTAGATTTTTGTTTGATGCAAGGGGACGTGATGCAATAGGGTCAAAATTTAGTAGTGAACTTGTTCTCTACATGCATGCGATGATGATGCAACACTTAGCATTTCGAAAACTTCAACTCTTAAAATAAGAATACACATGGTAAACTGTTAAGCTAGCTCTAATGATTAAGATACTAAGCTAAATACCATCATTTCCACTAAACAGGCATGAAACATTCAAGTATTATCTTAGCAACTAAAATGCATTTCCTCTTTTATTAACGATTTAATGTATATTAAAACAAGGAGCCCCTAACTACCTTATTTCTCGATCTATTCTAGGGCCACAAAAATTACAGTGAGCACATAATAATACAATGAATCTATTGTAAAAATTTCATGGTCAAAACTATTACCAATTTGCCACAAAAATTCCTACAAATACTAATCTAAATAATACTAAACACTCGCAATTGATTTTATAGGCCTCAGTATCAACTCAGTCATGCATAAGCTAACTATGCCATCAGATAGACAACATTTTTAGGAACTCAACAAATTTTATTTCACAATTTTTGGACACCTATGCGAATTGATGTTAATTTTCAAAATTCAGATCAGAAATTAAAATATAAAGCTATTTCTAATTCCTTAAGAAATAGAAAATGAATTCCACCCATGTGGCCCACCACCACGCGGACGCGGCCCACACGCGCGCGCGGCCCGTGCACACAGGCCGGCCCGTGGCGTAAGGGAGCCCGCGCGCGACACTTTGCAAAAAAACCCTTGCTCTTCCTAGTATTAACGCCGCTCTTATGCACACTATTCCTACAGTCTGGTCCTTTGCCAAAATACCCTCGCCCCTAATCATCTTTACATCCGGACGGTCCCCAACACCCCCGCGCTCGCCGGTGTGGCGTCGGCTGGCACGGGACCGCCACGCTGGGCAACCGGGAGCCCCTCCGACTCACCTAGGAGACCGACCCCCACCTATAGGACGACGTGCAGCTTTGGGCAGCGGTTGGACGACCCGAGACGCAGTAGAATGGCCTCTCCATGATGACGAGCACCCTGCGGCAGCGGTAGCCAAGTTCCAGTGCCTTACAAAAATGGTAGAGACAGTGGGTGAGTACCAGTGACTCACCACAAGCTTGCCCGTGGAGATGGTTCGACCGAGATGCCCAAGCAGGGCTAGCCAGGTGCGATGGTGCCTTCCAGCGGCGCTCCGTGGTGGCACGGACGTGTCAGCAGGCGAAGTGAGGGCGGTAGCGGTTGGATGGAAGCGCCAGGGAGAGGAGGGAAGCAGTGCGAGTGCAGTGGCGCAAGCAATTGGACATGGGTGGAGGAATTGAGTCCTGCCCTTGGTCATGGCAGGATGCGGCCTTAACGGCATGCTGGAGGGGAAACGCCAAATTGGTGCCTGGCCGGGCCGCCATTATGGTTGTGCGGGTTTGCTTGGCGATAAGACGGGAGGGCGAAAATGCAAGAGCCGGTAATTGCTGAAAGGTGACCGCCTACTGGCTCACACATGGGCATGACGTTGTGGTGAGAACAGAGGAAGACGAAGAGAGATGGTGCGGCAGGGCACCGCTCGGCTAGCCTTGGCGGCAAGCGGTCGGCCGAACATGCGGCTACGCTTGCGCCCGAGCTATGCGACACACGACTAGACCACGTGCGTGTGCAGGACGGGCAGGCATGGCGTGGCCTACGCGGTCACAGCGCCATCAAGGCGAGGCGACGGTGCGAGCGTGGTCGAGGCATCCCACGTGCACACGGGGGCAAGTGAGCGACCGCAACATAGCGTGGCAGTGAGAAGGCAGTGCAACAGTGTATGAATTGCGACGATGAGGTAACGACGCCGGCGTGGCTCCGTCGTGGCACGGGCGGCCACGCAGTGGGGCAGTGCAGCGAGCCAGCAGCGTCACGCCTGACGTCGCAAGCGACAGCAGCAACAGCCCCACACTACCGAGCTAAGGCGGCCAGGACGGGGCAGCCGAGGCCAGCCTAGCACGGCAGCGCGCGCGCGGCCGAGCTCAGCGACGCCGAGGCTCCGCGCGACGGTGACCGCGCCCACACATCCAGGCAACCAAAACAAGTGTCGTGCACGAATATTAAAGCGTTCAACACGACCAAACGGTTGCTCCTAAACCTAAACCCACCGTCTTCGTTATGCTCAAGATGGCATATGACACTACCAAATCGAGTTATAACACTACACCACCCTTTAAACCAATCTCTCATAATAAATTGCTAAATATAGCAATGTCTAGCTGTTGGCAGACTTGAAATTTTCTAAGTTTTAGAGCTGGATTTGATTTCCATTTGCGATTTCTAAGCTAGTGGAAATATTAGCCAGTAATCTCATTTTTCGACCTCAAGTATTTCATTGCCATCTACAAAGTTTGCACTTCCAACTTTATTAAGGTGACACATATATGTTCTATAGCATTTTTGCTTAATAAAAATTGATTTTAAACCCTAAGTGATATAACATGACTATCGGATCAACTTTCATTTCGTATTTTAGTTGATCGTTTCGAGTTACAGAAATTGATCTACACACTTTATTACATGCATTAACACATAAATATGATGCTCATGACATATTTTAGCAAATGATTTACGGTCAGTTGAGCATCCGGCATGGTACGAAATCTGACTCCAAGATGAATTTTGACCGCACAAAGCAATTTTTAAATAAACTTCCAAGCCGCAATTCGTCCAAGTGACTCCGCATGTTATACTTTCTGTTGCAACGCACGGGCATATTTGCTAGTTCTAATAAAAAGGCTTACGCGAAACACCCACAAAATTCCAAACAACACTACAGCTAGCATTCGAAAACAAGTGAAAACGTAGCAAACAATGCGTCCATTTCATTAGAGTAGAATAAACCGGTTCCACATATTTGACCACAAATAGTAATTAACCAACGTATATATAGTTAGTAACGGTCCTGTTTCTGAAACAGGACTTCATATTTTTAAAATAGAGTAAATAACCATATCATATTCTTCTATGTGCCCGCCTTGCCATGTACCAATCTGCTATATCTAAATATAAGATTCCCATGCATCCTCCAATACCAAAAGCTCCAAGAAGAGCTGCTCCAAATCCTATGAGAAGAAAACCAAGGTCTTCCTCGTGTCCTCCTTTTCTGTACTGCCTTTGAAGGTAGCAAGATGCCATAATGCCAGCAAGATACGGGAGCTGAACAATGTAATTAGGTGGGGCTTCCTCCCTGACCCTTCTTGGAGGCCTTCTTCGAGGCCGCCTTCGTCGAGGCATCCTGGATATATGACAGTAACAGCAGTTTGCCCACAAATTTCTTTAAGGTATCGAGATTAAAAAAATGAAAACAATTTCCACATGTAACGCCATAATATAATATGGTAAGGCAACGTAATACTAAGTTCTCCTGATATGTATAACTGTTATTGATGATGTACACATGCATATAGTGAAAAACATTCTGTATATGTACAACAGGAGTCACACCAAATAAAAAGTGCAACATACCAGTGAAAAAAGATTCTAGAGATTTTTAGGCCGTATTTGGATCCAATAGTTGCTAATAGTTAGCTAGCTAATACTATCTCCGTCCCAAAAAAAAAATACAATTCTAGGTGCATTCTCGGTTAAAGTGCCTAAAGTTTGACTAAATATATAGATAAAAATATTAACGTTTATGACATGAAATGAATATACAATGAAAATATGTTTCATGACGAATCTAATGATACCTGTTTAGTATGATAAATGTTAGTATTTTTTATATAATTTTGGTCAAACCTGATATATTTTAATATAGCATTGTTCTAGAACCACGACCTTTTTAGGATGAAGGTAGTTGCTCATAGCTAATATTAACTAGCTAACTATTAGCTGTGACTAGCTGAGATAGTAGTTAGTTGGTATTTAACTAACATTTGGCTAGACTATTAGTTGGACCCATTTAGATCTAAAGAAACTAATTATTAGCAACTAACTCTTAGCTTATGGATCCAAGCAAAACCTTAAAGGCATATAGAAAAAATAGTTGTCATGTGTTTACCGAAAGCACTGTCAGATATATGATTATGTGGTTAAAGAAGTCAAGAACCCATTAAGATTTAACCTCGACGTACCCAAGTTGATATTATGTGATTTTTTTTTCAAACTAGTGCTATCTAACAGTACCAATTTACCAGCCTGGCAGCAACAAATGTTCTATTTCCACTTTAATTTGCATTTGTATATACTAAAAGTTCCGCAATATTGTGTCACACACCTCTTAACCTAAACAAACTCAACTTTTGAAACTAAATTTACATCT